CTACTAGAACAGGACATACTGATTTTGTGGAGGTGGAGGGAGAGCCACCACCCTGGACGCTAGAGAGAGAACATCTTTGACTGCAGGTGATGTGTGTAGGGGAGAAAGGGACATTAATAATCTTTGTCCTTCAGAACCACTCCAAGAGCCTTCCTCAGGTATGAAAATGCTCTCAGGCAGATTTCCCCAAAAGCTGCAAGTTTAAACTCACTGCTGGATCTGTCACCCCTCACCAGAGGGTGACCACAACCTGATCACCATTTTCTCTAACTTTACTAAGAAGTATTTTGTCAACAGCAGGGGATGGCCAAGCTCCTGCATGTCCCGTGCAAAACACCAGGTTTTCACTACTATTCCCAAAGCTCAGGCTCAGTCTGTGAGGTGTCTGTCACTCAGCTGGCATACAGGTGCTCATAATAAACAGAACAGATTGAACTAGCAGCTCTCAGACATTCCCTCCAAAAACAAAGACTCATTCAAACTGAGCTGGGAAAGGAAGGCCACATTGGAGACAATATCAATCTGTGCCCCTGACTGATGAAGATCCCACTTTGTGGTCACAAAAAATTGTAAACAACACTTTCTTCAAAAAGCACCTATGTGCCCCCTGGGACCATAATTCTTGTATGGAAGCCAGGTCTTAACTTCCTTCCTTCCCAAAAATACAATGCCTTGAAACTTAGAGGTGGGAAGAGAGCATCCAGTGTCTAAGGAAGCACCACTGGTAGATCAGTTTAGCTCTCAGATGACTGTGAAGATCTCTCCAAAATAAGGCTACCCTTGGTTATTTGGGGGAGCTTCCTGGAGGAAAAACTGATTTATTTATGCATGTTCTATGAGCAGTCTTCCCTACCATGAGAGGCATCCAAATAAATAGGTGGTACAAATTTGTGTCTGACTCTAGCTGATGTGATCAATGACACCACTTGGGATCTGGAAGACATTCATGTCAGCCTCAGAACACTGGCCAGGGTAATTATGGAGGCTAGACTTGCCCTAGACTTCTTCCCTGTTGACCAATGCTGAGACTGTGCAACTGCTTAAACATCTGGCTACACTCAGATTAATCCTTAGAGCTAAGTGGAAAAGTCAATATAGAAACTAAAGGAGAAAGCCTTCTGGCTTTCTAGGGATTTGTTCAGTTGGTTGAGTGTAGGACCTTAGGGGAATGGATGCATGGTTAAGATTAGCACTGCAGGGTGGCCACATCCTGCTACTTGGAATTCTGATGTTTTCTTAACTAAATCCCGCGCGGGAAAAATTGAATAGTAGGTCCCAGTTCCTACTGGCATATTAATCGGAATGGTCACGGAGTAGTGTATTCACTGGAAAATTTACCAGAAGCTGAAACAGTGTAGAAATAAGCATACTGTTGAAACACCTCTCCGTGGGACCCTCATGTTTCTGCATATCTTATAAACAAACACACTGAAAGTCTTTTGTTTTGGACTATCTTTTCAAAGACAGCTGTCTGTATAGCAAGTGGCTGGTTTGTTTATTGTCCAGTATAATAAAGATAAGGGACCCTCTGGGGCAAAGGCTGGGTAGATTTGCTTACAGCTCATCATAAAAGATTTGGGTTTCCTAGAGCCCAAAGTCCTCAACTGTGATGTAAACCATTGTGAGCACAACACACACCAAGGCCACTGCATTATCCCTCATGACTCCTGGGGAATGGGATCCAAGAAAACTGACACGAACAGGAAGCTCACGCTGCTCTGTATGCTGTGAGAGACTCAAAATTCTCATGTCTGCTGCCAGCACCCATAACACCGTGGCAGGCCAACTTATTAGCTGGTAAACAGATTAAAACCTCACACCCTTCAGTTTTTGACAATAACTCAATTTTTTAAATGGGCAAAAAATTTGAACAGACATCTTGCCAAAGAAGATTAACATATGGCAAAAGAGGCACATAAAAAAATGCTCAAAGTCATTAGTCATTAGGGAAATGCAAACTAAAACCACTATGTACCTACCAACTTGGCTAAAATGTAAAAAGTCTGATCATACAGGAAGACTGTGGAGCAGTTGGCAGCTCATACAGTTCAAATTGGAATGTAAAATGGTACAACACTTTGGAAAACAGCTTGGCAGTTTCTTAAATAAATAAATAAATAAATAAAAAACACATCTACCATATGACCCAACTATTCCACTTCTAGGTATTTACTGAGAGAAATGAAAGCATATGTCCAAAGACGTGTACACAAATATTCGTAGTCACTTTATTTGTGATAGCCAAAAACTGGAAACAACCTAAATGTCCATCAACAGGTGGTATAGCCATACAATGGAATACTCGGCAATAAAAAGGAACCCACAACAACATGGGCAAACCTCTAAAACACAATGCTAAGTGAAAAAAGTCTAGCATGAAAGACTACACACTACAGGAATCCATTTATATGACATTCTAAATAAGATCAAAACCACAATGAGGTAATAACCTATAATGAAAAATAATAATATACACATATGTATAACTGAATCACTATGCTGTACACCAGAAACTAACACAATACTGTAAATCAACTATGTACTTAAAAAAACCAAAAACCCACAGTGATAAAAATCAGATCAGTGGAGGCTGGGGACCAGGGCTGACTGCAGTCGTAAAAGTTAGGGTGATCAAAATGTTTCTATACCCTGAATGTGGTGGTGGCTACACCACCGTGTACAATTAACAAAATTCAAACTCTACATTAAAATGGGTGAAATGTATTGTATGTAAATTACACCTTAATAGGCTGAGGAAGAAAAATCTATAAGGCACCTGCTGTTTCCTAACAAATAACAGGAACCTTCTCATTCAGTTTTAAATAAGCAATGATGCAATTCCAGCAAAATAAAGTCCTAGTATTTTTTCCAGTGTCATTCAAAAATTTTACACTGTATTCCAAAAATATGTGCATACTGCAAATGTGAGAAGAGCACCTTATTTACCTTCTGCATCTACAAAACAGTTATACAATAATCTTCTCAATATAGAGTTGCCTTTACCAGTTGATTTAACCACAACTACATCATGCAATTTTTATTCCTAAATTGTGTAACATTATACGCAGCCAGTTACAAACAGTCAATATGTAATACTGCTATCTTCCTGTCTTTAAAGAATCCTTCAGAGTATACTGCATGCCTATTTGGTTCATGAAACAATTCAACATGCTAATATATTTATATTGAGAAGCACTGATGGTTGTAATTACAGTAAGAATCCCAGTCTTATAATAAATCTTCTAAAAGCTTCTAAATAGGCCTGGGAAAACAGCTGTACCTAATTGTTCTTACCATCATCTCCCAATGACTAGACACAAGAACTTAATTAAATGTCTTCCAAATCTAACCTGGACCACTGTCGTAGAGTATGTTCCACTGTTCTGCTGACGAGGACTTTCTGCATAGTTAGATACTACTTACTAACATGAGCAGCAAAGGGACCACACAGAACATGTTTTCAGAAGGTTCTCATCTGAGACTTAGCCACAAATTTGATATTGCCCCATCCAAACATATTCCCCTCGTCTACCTCCATTTTGAGAAGGTATGACCTAAATCAGGTTTACATCCTCAATACACCTCTATTTTGCTACCTGTGTCTTAGCTCTCTCTGCAGACACTGGCCTGGTTTTAATCAGCACGCACCATCCATCTATTCACAAATGTTTATTGCATATCTACTATGTGTCAGGCACTAGGCATCAGAATACATACACACCAAGCTCTTGTCAGAAAAGTTGAATCTTGAATTCTGTCATCAAACTAATTGAAAGCTCATTAGGAGAAATAATATTTATGGATAATTACAATTTAAGAATAACTACGAAACAACTGAACGTTATCTTTTGACTGAATCACACCAGTGAGTGGGACTAAATCACTCTGCCCTATGTGTAACTGATTTTACCAAACTGTACTTCAGTGTTATGTCAACAACCTACATTGAAGTTCGTAAGAAACAGAACCAAGAGATAGTAACAGCAATTCACATTTAGAGTACAACGGGCCAGATTCCTTGCTAAGCACTTTACACGCATTAATTCACTTACACTTCACAAATAATCCTATGTAGAAAGTACCATCATTATCTCCATTTGACAGATAAGGAAACTGAGAAGCTCACAGGAGGCAGAGTAATTGCATTGAGGCCACACAGTGGCAGAGCTGGGATACTACAGAGGCAGCCCGACCCCAGAGCTCTTGTTCTTGGTCACTATGTTTCAATGACACTATTCATTATGTAAAATGTTGAAGTCTTTATTCATTATACCATTTAATGTTTTCCTAATAACTTCCTATGAGAAACTGTTTTAATATCAAGCATAGCTCTTACAAAACTGGTATGTTCTCATATTATAACCATAAATAATGTAACTGAGGGTTTTTTTCCTTTTTCTTTGGAAGAGGTGCTTCAAAACTCAGAGCTAGATTTAGCTCATTTAGCAAGTATACAGACTTAATGGCATGCATTTTGACTATCATATTTCTAACTTCACTGATTATCACCTCCACCTAGCCTATTTATTACATCTTCAATTTCCTCACTTTTTAAAAAAAAAAACTGTACTACGTTAATCTATGTAAGGCAAACTCTTTTTAGAATAAGGCTTAGTACAAATAACTAGCTTGAATCCAACAAGACAGTTTACAGGGGCCCAGAGAACTCCTTAGAAGATGTCTAGTCCTCCTTATTTTATTAGACACAAAAGATGCTACTTCAGTTAATATTAGCAGTTTTTACAGAAGGACAAAAAAATCAAGTGTGAGGTAAAGAACAATCAGTATCCAGAAGAACTTTATAAATTCTTAAATACATACTCCTGGTTGCAAAATGTAAGCTCTTTATGGCATGACACACACGATAAATTCTTAACTAACAGGCTGAACATGACTGAATATAACTATCTGCGCCTCACTAATGACGTTAGTTCTTTATAGCATGACACTGAATGTGACTAAATATAATAACTATCTGTGCTCATGCAAGAAATAATTACCTGACTTCAAGGGCTTTGATAGCTTCTAGCATTTGTAGAAACTCTGCTGCTTTCCATACATCATTGGCTTCTTCTTCTCCTTGTATCATTAACTTTGCTGTATATGTGAACTCAATCAAATGACGAAAGGCCATCTTACTAACACCTGTAAAAAAGATGAGCATTAGCATGCATTCATGGTGATTCAGATCTTGTATCATTTAAAAAAGAAGCCCAGTGTTTGGTACTTGATGAGTATTTGTTATTTTGGAAGGTAATTTCCTGGCAGAATTCTCACTTATATATGAATGGGCTAACTATTACATCAGACATGCTGTGTTTCTTGCCAGGGAGCTCTGTGTCAACTCAGTTCCAAAATCATCAACAGCTTTCTACAGCTTAGCAAATAAAGGTCAGTACCACTCTGCCTTTATTTCAACGTCCTTCACATTATTTTTTTATTTACCACTATCTTCCCTTTCAAATCTTAAACCATATCAAACCCACATTATATACTGCTCCTCAAACCCTTCACTTTCTAAGAAGTTCCTTGCCTTAACACTAACCCTCCCTTCATGACTGCTTCATCAGTTTATCTCTGGACAAATCCTACCACCCTTAAAGGCCCAATTTCAATGCCACATCTTTAGTAAAACCCTTAATACTTTCCTCAGGCTGGACTCTGTACGTGGCCAAATAATTAAAATTCATAGACATCTCTTGACTATAAGCTACTTGAGAGAAATGATTTTGTCTCTAAACTCACCACACATTATCTAACATGATGCTTCCCAAAATGCAAACACACAAAGTACGTATAAATGAATAAAGGCTAAAGTCACTTTCAAAATTAAGCTTCCACAATTCCAATCTTTATGAGTTTTGTGTTTAAATTTTGGCCCAAAACGATACTCTACTTCTTTATGCTTTTCAATGCTATATATTGTTGTTTCAGTCTGCTAATGCAAGGCTATGAAAAGCTACTGTCAGGAACAAAGAGAAAACTATTTCTTGCAGATTGTTTTATGATAAGAAATGCCCAAGACCAAACTGCATACAATATGTACAACTACAAATACAAAATTACTTTTACGTTCTTCCCATGAACTTTATACACTTGAATGTGGCCTTGAGGACAACAGTAAGAATATTGGTGGAATATCCACCACCCCTCATTTATATAAAGAAAAGATATCATTCAGGAAGTCAGAACTTCCAAGTTTTAGTCCAGGCTCCCTATGACCTCTGATCTGGGGCCAACTCAGACCTCCGAGCCTCAGAAGACTCATCTTCAAAATGCCTGAATACAATCAGAATGTTAAGAAGCACCATAAAGTATAATATAATATGACCAAGCTACATGATACCAAATAAGCAAACTAAAAATAACTGGATTCACTGAAAGCTAATTTTATTTGGGTCCCCTAATCTTTTTTCTCCTGGTTGTCTTTCGACCATGTTATATTTTATTATATGAGAGTAGCCTTAAGGACAGACAACTAGATTTTGCTTTTTTTCTTTAAAAGGAATTTTGACCCAACATTTAAAAATGCAACAAAAATCTTTCCTAAAAACAATGTGCAAATTTTTCCTGAAGGAGAATATTTTCATTTTTAATCAAACACATATATATGCCTGATATATTTATATGTATCAGGCATGACTTTGAACACTTTACAAGTATTAAAACTCATTTAATCCTCATAACAACCCTATGAAGTACTATTACAATCCCCATTTTACAGATGAGGCAATTGGGCATGGAGATTTTTAAATAGGATGATGGCAGGAAACATTCCTGCTTGGGAGTTTGAATATCCATGGTCCCATTCACTACAGGACTGCAATCTCTTATTCATATTTCCGAAGTCCCCCAAATCTCTTAAAACCAGAAAATTTCCTATAAATTTGACTGCATCATTTTTTTCTGAACTGACATGAGGCTATTTATAGTCTTTATCCCACTTAGCATAAATGTTAATAAGCTATGATGCTGGATTATTACTTGGTTATAGGATATTGCTCCAGACCCTACCAGGCATATCATGTAATGCACATACTGCACTACCTTAGAAAATTCTAAAAATTTGTAATCTCAAGAAGCATCTGGCCTCCAAGGATTTGCAGACTTAGTTCCAAAGCTTGGTTAATCAGAATCACCTGTAGACTTAAGCAGGGGTCCCTGATCTCCAGAATCAAAACTGGGATAGAGAATTGTTTTTCGTGAGCACTCTAGGTGCTTCTTATGTGACCAGTCCAACATTGGTCCTAGGAATAAACCAATGACCCAACTAATTAGCTAACATGAACCAAACTGATAACACGTCCAGGTAAGTGAATGGTTGGGTGATGCTGTATAGCTGCAAAAATATTTTATACTCTATCAGGAATAGTCTGGTAACTTTCAAATTTCAGCCCATTTTCTCATCAACCCCTTATTCCTTTCATAATGTAAGTGTGTAGGAGAATACATTTTTTACAAGCAAATATCTAAGCAAAACATTAATATGAACACCTTAATCTTAGTCATTTTTCCACTTAGGAAGGGGCAAAGGGGAGAAGCATTCTGGAATTTCTCTAGTCTTAGGGAATTCCTCAGTTGGTGGAAAACTCCTACTCAAATAAGATGTTTGAACACGTGCTTAGATGTTTTGTCTTTGATATTAGGGGCTAAAATTTTGCACACAATGGCAGAGTTGCTATTTGAGAGAAACTAGGTGCTTATGGATCTGTGGTTTCAGGAGTAAAGACTGGAGTTAGAAAATTGGAGGCTCGGGTTAAGAGAAAGCTTTTGTGTTCTCAACTAGGGCATAAATGTCTGTTTAAGATTTTATGTGGCGTGAGTCCAAGTCACAAAGCTGAACTGGGATGCAACTGGCTTTGAGGACAACAATTTCACTTAAGTCAAAGGTTAACTTGTCATTCTTATCAAAGGTAACTTACTTCACCAGCAACTTAGGAAACGGGGAGAGAGCTGGTTCAGCTTGCATCTAATGACAGTATATGCTCATAAAGCATATTACAATTTAAGTTTCTTTTACATACATGTCATTTGCTTTTACAAACCCCTATAAGGCAATGGTTCTCAACACTGGCTGCATGCTGGACTTGTCCTAGGGCAGTGCTGTTCTAACTCTGCTGTACACAGGAATCATCTGAGGATCCTGTGCTGATTCAGTAGGTCTAGGATGGAGCCTGAGAGTCTCCAGTTCTAACAAGCTCCCAGGTGATGCCCAGGCATCATTGTCCTCAGACCACACCTCAAATAACAAGGACCTAGAGAACTGTTAAATACAGGTGCTTAGATCTCACCCCTCAAAGATTAATTGATCTGGAGAAAAGGCTTGGGTACTGGTACTTGCAAAAGCTCCCCTGGTGTCTCTAACGTGCAGCTAAGGATGAGAACCATCACCATTCTACAGACAGGAGTTCCAGTTTTAGCTAGGAGGGAGAAAGCATACTCTACCCTAACTTATCCATTGATTCCAACTAAATATCCTGGACAGAATACATAAAGCAAAATATACAAGGACTCTGAAGAATAATTAGAAGCAAAGAGATTGGGGAGAGAAATCAGAACACAAAGAACAGCAGTAAGTTTTCTGGTTTTACATTTTTTTTCTCCTACATATCCCATGCTGAGGACAGCCCAACTCCTGTTACTGGGCAGCAGGTGCAAATAGAAAAAGCTCCAAAAGAAACTCTTTCTGGCTCTAGAACCAGGAAAGGGGATGGACAGTATGTGTGTAGGTGGGAAAAAAAACCAATTTTTATTCCTCTCTCTCAGCCCTGCTTCAAGACAAGCCCCAGTTCTGATGCTGCACATCTGTGGCTGGCTGCCACCAAGCAGGCGCCTAAACTCTAAGAGAAAGTTCTCTCTGGCACAGAAGTAGGAAAGAGACAATAATCTGAAGCACATGGAGAGAATTCCTGTCATTTTCTTCTCTCACCACTTTGTCCAGGAAATGGACCCCACTGCCGGAACTGTACAACAGCACAGGGAGGCTAAACCCCCAATTTTCCAGCCAGAAGACCAGGAAAGGGAGCTCCTGGGAGCTAAAGTACAGAGGAAATCAGGAGGGGGAGCTGGATTAAGGTCCTTTTATCTGTGTATGCAGTCTTGAGCTCACCACTGAGCTGCACACATGTGCAACTGACCTGAGGCTGCACAGTAAAGGCTTTGAGAACTGCACTGTGGTGTGGACTACTACCCAGATCCACACACCTGGGACCTGAATAGCACAACAAAGGTTCTGAAAACTAAATTAGAATTGGATCCACAATCCACCCGAGGCAGCCTGAACTTAACCAGGTTGAGTGCCTACTAAAACAAAATAAACCAAAATGACAAAAGCATTATAGAGGATTTTAACATCACCCAAAATTACTTGACATATTTTGTACATTCAAAAAAAAAAAGGAAGCTAAGATGTCCAATGTTACACAACTGACAAACAGTAAAGCTGGGACTACAACTCGGATTTTCCAAGTACATGCCCATGGCTTTCTCTACAGCTAGGTGGCCTAGCCAGGTAGTACAGCAATCCCAAAGTTAAGGGCTTAAGAGACACTGAGCCAAACTGATTCTTTAAACTTGAATCTGGCAAATAACCAAAAGAACAAGAATGCTTTTATATTTTTCTTTCTTATTTTCTATAGTTTAAATACTGAAGGCTTGGGTATCCTGTTCTATAAATGGACACAGCAGGTCAGAAGTGTAAGAGGCAATCTCAAGGTGATTCGTCTTCAGAAGACCCTACTTCTCTAGGTAGGTCAGTACTCCTCGCTCCACCAGCAATGGATATTCAAGATTGAGTGACTTATTTTTTGACTTTTTAGGATTCTGCTCAGAAGTTAACTCCTCTTTGAAATCTTTCCTCTCTCTCTAAAGCAGATTAAACTACTCATGCTCCCTCCTCAGAGAAATCATTCTGTAATAAAAGTCTCTGCAACACTTTTTGCACGCCTTTACCAGTTGCTTATCCATGATCAAGTTTGCAGATTCTCCAAGGGCTGTCTTATTCATCGAATCCTCATTTCCTGGGTCTGGGACAGTATAAGAGGTATTAGATTTGATAAGTAGTCCCAATTTACTAAGCTTTGACAATGCACCGAACACTGTGCCAAGCACTCTGAATATATCATTTCAATTAGTCATTAGTACAAGCTTACTGACCCACTTTTCAGATGAAGAGGCAAATATGCAGTTGAGGTAAAGTAACCTGCCTGGGGTCTCAGTACCTCAGGTGAATAAATGGATGAAATTTTGCCTTGTAATAGAAACAAATACCATCTAGGCTGCTGGATTTTCACTTCAGTAAGCTTTGAGGATTTCCATTATGCCTGTGCTGTGTCCATCACAGATAATCAAAAGATAATCTATTTATGGATGTATCAGCCAGAATGCTAGATAAGCTGGAATGATCAAAATAAGAGGATATTAATTCTACGTTTTCTTTGTTCCCCTGGGCACCAAATTTCTCTAAGGGAATAATTCATAACAGAGAATATATACCCAGTGAAAGAGATACAAAACCAAAACTCAAGAATCCTGATCAAGAAGCTAATGTTCTATATTTACGTAGGCAAGCTGATTTATTTCCTGTAGCTTTGGACGGGGAGGGAGGAGGAGTTAGGTACTGTAGTAGCAGAAAACAAAGGCATGGGAATTAATAGCACAAACTGAATCCCTTGCTAGATGACCACCCTCAGGTAGGTGCCTTTTGATGCCTGCTCCCTGATGTGCAAATTGGAAATATAACCACTTATTTCAAAGGACCGCTGTGAACCTCAGAAAATGCACACAAACTACATAACAATACCTGGCACTTGGTGGGCTATTATTACAAAATTCAAGCAAGTACAAAAGTCACTTCCTATTTCAAGACCTTCTGGACCCTCTAGAACTTCTGAATGCTACTTCAGTTCATCTTCCTAGCCTTTTTCATATTATAGCAGCCCACTTCACACTGTCCATGTCATCTGCACCTCTGCTAGTACAGAAGCCTGCAGCATCTCCACCAGTCTGAAACATAAGCCCACTAAATATGATGGAAATTCACTTTTAATATACATTTTCAAAAGACAGTGATTGCTGGTTTTAGCAATGAAAAAGACTCTTTAAGAGACCAACAACTACCATCTAACCTAAGAGTTTTTCCTGGTAGATCATTTTACCAAGCACTTTACTAAGAATTCTCAGGTGTCAAACACTTTATCCAGTCACCTAATAGGAACCATTGATGCCTATTTCCCATGGTACCTTGCTAAGTTAACTGTCCAAAACTTAATCAAATTATAATATTTGCTAAATATTGTATTTAAAACAAGCATTTACCTTCTATCTCCACCAAAGGTTCCTGAGTAAACTCCTGAAAGAATTTGTAGAAGAACTTGCTGCAAGCAGCCAAAACAGCCTTGTGGGCCTTAAAATGGTGTCCTAGATAAAAAAAGAAAATTAAGTCATTCATATTCACAAAACCAAATAAAAAACTATAAAACAAATTAGAAAATTAAAGTAAAACAGATTTTTAATATAATTATAAAACTATATTCTGGGCAGGTATCTTGACAAATTTTAATCTCAATTAGACACGAAAGCAGATCTTTGCCTCAAAAACCTTATCAAGCCAGTTTTTTTAAAGGCCATCTTAACAACCTTTTCAGGAGGTAAGGAGCCTCCTACCACATAAGCCAAAGGCATATCCTATTCAGTTGAAACTGCTAAATATAAACACAACCCAAAAGGTTATACATCATTTGAAAAAAGAACAAGCAACAGGATAATCACCAAGCTGGATGTGCTTGCTAAGGAATACATTTACTATGCCTGATCCTTGGAAACTCAATCTACAGCAGACGTAGAATAAATAATTTTTTACCTTGAAAAGTCTGTTTTCACTACATAGAAAAGCTATCCAAGCTGGGTCTGCCTCCATTACAATGACAACTCCTAAGACTGGTAAAGGCCCCATTTTATTTCGGGGGCTTACCAAAGAGAGTACTAGTGCTGCAAAGGAATCTCTCACGTTTTCCCTCCAAGACCATTTGGGAAACTAGAAAGAATTAACAATTCCCAAATGACTCCAGTGAGAGATATCTCAAAGCAGCTTATCAACAGAAGGCTATTAGCCAAACATTTAGAGACATTCTCCCTATCCCCATGCCATCATCCTGCACTGAAGTGTGTAATGAGAACACTTGAAAAGGCTGCAAGAAGTTAAAATGTGATGCTTCTGTTGAAAGCGTGACTAGCCTTCTGCAGCATGGTCTACGTGAGCGGACACTGGTTAAGTGTCCTCAGGTCTCAGCGTACAGCCTATGCAGACTTTTGATAGGAGTCTACAGAAGGTGGGTAAAAAAAGGCGAGTGGGGGAAGGGGAGATAAGAACTGAAGCCACAAATTCGCTCCTCAGCCCACCACTCTACCTACCGTCGACAATCAGGGTGATGTCAGTAAACCGGTCCTGCTCTCGCTGTTCATTCAATCGGTCCAGGATCATTTTATGATGTTCAGGGAACTCCTGAAGGCATTCCATCGTCTCTTCGGCCTCCATGGCCGTCGGGTTGCTCTACAAAAGAGGAGCATGATAATGTACACCCATGAGCTCGGGCTAAGGAACAAAACCCCTAAAGCATAAATTAACAACAACAAAAAACAAAACCAAAAACCCAGCAACGTGAAAAGAAAGGGGGAGGGTGAGGCAAGAGGAGAGGAAGGCGAGGGAAGAAAGAAAGGCGAGCCGGGCGGCCGCCGCGCGTTGGGGGCCGGAGCCGCGGCCGCGGGACTCCGAGCCTGACCTAATTG